TGGTTGGGGGTGCAAGTTTGTGGCACACCAGCCAAAAAGGTTGTCCTGTACTTTGGTAGCTGATGTTTTATGATCTTTCCCAGTAGGTTCATCTGTTTCATAGATTTCATAGACATTAGGGCTGGAAGGGACCCCAGAAAATCAAGTCCAGTCGCCCACCCAAAGGGCAGGAAGTCAGCTGGGGTCATAGAATTCCAGCAAGATAAACATCCAATTTCAATGTAGGTGCTTGAACCACCTCCGATGGCAGGCTGTTCCAGACCTTGGGGGCTCAGACAGTAAAGAAATTCTTCCTTATGTCCAGCCTGAAACGGTCTTGCAGTAGTTTATGACCATTCAACCTCGTCATCCCTTGGGGCTCTCTGGTGAACAATCATTCCCCCAGAAACTGGTGGTCACCCCTGATAAACTTAGAAGTGGCCATCAGATCATCCCTGAGCCTGCGCTTTTCCAGGCTAAAGAGCCCCATGGTTCTCAGCCTGTCATTGTAAGGCCTGTTTTCCTGACCTCTGATCATGTGCGTGGCTCTTCTCTGGACTCTCTCAAGCTTCTCCACATCCTTTTTGAATTGTGGAGCCCAGAACTGGACGCAGTAAGCAAATTCTTCCTGTTGAGCAAGAGACAGGATGCAAGCTAGTGTCTAGCACCCATAGGAATCGTTAAGTCAAAAGATCATTCTCTTCTGTTCTATGGCAGGAACAAATGGATAGGTATTTCCTTTGCCAGATTTTGTGGAGGTGCAAACTGATTTTGCTCTTCTTTTTATAACTGATACTATAAAAGGTGATTGAACAATGAAACCTGAGATAACAGAGATAGTAGATGTATCTGGTTCCGGGGACTGTTCCTCCTTCCAAACTTTGCCCTGACTTGATTGATTTGCGTTAAAAGGAAAGCCTGTTTCTCTATGACTTTTCATTGTGATGACTGTTTCCCAGAAAAGTGAAGTCGGATTAGCAGATCGTAATGATGTATGTGTCAAGAGATGTTTTCTTGAATAGGGAACATAGTCCTTGATTTGTTGGCATCTTGTCCTCTTTTTCAGCAGATCCACTGATTCGCACCAGAACTCAGGCATGCAGTTACTCTAATTGAAGAGCAATAACTTTAATTGAATGTGTAAGATGGCAAATGTAAATGAAAACTGAAATAACATTTGGTACGTGGCTGTTCTTGACTTGAGGAAGTGTGTGTTTCTTGCGCTGTTTATTGTTAACACTATAGTGGAGTAATAACTTACATGTTTGTGCCTTAAAATCACATCTCTTTGGCAGTTTCAAATTCACTTATGGGGGTAAAACCCAGCTTCTGCTTTTGAAATTGGCTGCAGTGAAAAAAGGGTGCCGCAGACAACAATCTGTGGTGAAATATAAGCAAAAACTTAATGCTTGGACCTTCAATAGAGTGGAAACTGAGCTCTCTTATGCTGCCCAGATTTGTGTTCCTGCTTAGTAGTACACATAGACATCTCACACATACGTGTGGAAATGGACTCCTCATCCATGCATTTGGTTGGCTTGTGCATGCAGTCTGAAGTATACTTACGCATGGAGTTCTGTACCTTTTTTGAAATATGGCCTTTAAGCTATAATAAAATACTTTGCCAGTGTTGTGTTTTTTCTTTTTACCGTGTTGCTTTGTGAATGGTATCAAATGTTTGGTTTGTAAGAACAGACCAGTTCAGGATGTTTATAAAAGAGAACCCCTCACCCAATTGGCTACAGGATGCTGGTCTTGAGCTTTTCTTATATGACAAACTTTCTTTAAAACAAAACACCATAATCTTGCTGTGAGGAATGTTACGTAGTTGGCTATTATTTACCAATATGTTTCTGGCTTTTCTGTGAGTAGATGTCCAATATATGTCATTTCAGAAAGTGGAGTCCTGTGGAGCCTTGTGTAGCTACATCAGTATGAAATCTCATTTGCCAGCTGACAATCCAGCCCTCTAGCAGTTTCATATCTCTATGAAACTCTCACCTGCTGCTCATTCTGTATTCAGTACTTGTTCTCAGTTGAATCTTGAGTATTATCTTTTCGTCCAATTGTGACTAATTGCTTAGCTCTTGGAGAGAAAAAAAGTACTATTAAGAGGTTTTGAAGCATTTTCAGGAAGTTTAGTGTCTTTCCATTCCTGTGGGGCGACATTTTGTCCATTAAAATCTGGTCACTTTTTATTTTATTTTTTTTGCAGTAAGATTGTTCTTTTAATATTTACATCCAGTTAATGGAACTCTGATCTCCTGATTTCTAGTTGCTTTTTAGTATCTCTTTTTGTGGCTACTGTTCCCAAGCTCTTTCATTTTCTTTTATGGATACATTTCATGATCTCCAAGATAGAGCTGCTTTCACTCTCTTCCTTTCTTGTCACTCCTTTGTACTTCTCTTCTACATTTCTAATCAAAATGTCACTCCCAACTTCCTTCTTATTCTTCCCTCCTCAAAATAACCAAGATCACTAGGTCCTGGTACTCTTCCTCTTCTACTTTGCCATGACCTGTAAGCTTCTTTGTTAGGTGCAGTGCTGAGATTTTTAGGCCAGGCCTTGTTGATCTATTTGTTTATCACAGAGCTGGTGTATATCTCCTCACTTTCTCCTCTCCCCTCTTTGCTGTCTCTTCAGATTATGATCTACAAAGGTGTAGTAGACCCTCTGATTGCTGAAGAATACTTCAGTAGAGCGCACTTTGAGGGTGGGAGGGCAGGGGGGATGCTTAAACACAAATCTGTCTGCTTCATTTTTTTTCCTTTCTGATTTTATGTAGAAGCTCATATTCGAATAGAAGTATGCTTTCATGGGCTAGGAACAGAAGTTGCATGCAAACGGGTTAAAGTAATCAGAAACTGGCTTAAACCTGTAGCGGAACAGAAGCTCAGTGCACATAAATCAGTTTTAAAATGGCTGAAACAGGTTTAAGATAAACCTGGTTGAATGTATCATCAGACGTACATGATTTGGGTCAAACTGGTTTATGGAACTTCTGTCCCAGACCCCTTCCTAGTTCAAATTAAATCAAAGTTCCTCAGCATCCCAGTATGCTTTCCACTGCTGGGCTGGGCTGTTTGCTCCAGCAGAGAAGGGCTGGGGGGTGAGTGGGGAGAGGCAGAGACTGTGCCCCCCAAGCAAACCCTGTTAAAGGCCAGGGAGGGGAGTTAAACCCACTTTCCCCTGAGTAGAGCTGCCGTGCTGCTAAACTTACTGAAAGTGACTGCTGACTGTGACTGGACTACAAATTCCAGGGGTATCTGGAAGCAGGAAGAAGAAATGATGAGCAGCCCTGAAGAATCCTGCTGTTGTGACTCTGGACTGCAAATCCCAGAGATGTCTTGGGCAGCAGGAAGAGGAAGTGAACACACAGCCCATGCTGGCTTCATGCCAGAGTGGCATGCTATAGCACCCCCTGGCATCTGGCCTGAGCCACTGTAGGCACGTGGCTGGCTGCATTTCCTGAATCAAAAGTAAATGCATGTCCAGTTCTTCCTCAATTTAATTTCTGCAGCTTAGACTAACCTGCAAAGACTAAATTGATTCAGCCTCAGGCTGTTTGACTGCCCATACCTAGCCATGATGCACAATCTCCTGCTGAATTCTACAGTGAAGAATGTATTGGTGGCTGCTGCTCCATAGTATTGCAGTATAAATTGTGAGGTTGCAACTGTAAATACAAAAATGGGCTATGAAGAACCTTTTTGCTGTTTGGAGCAAAGAAGATTGCATTCACAAGAAGAAGCTAATCCAGTGCAAGAAGCATACGCAACACAAAAGTAGATTGTGGTTGCATTTATGTTTAGTGTGCTGCAACCGGGGTGCTGTGTATGCGACTTCTACTGTAGTTAGTGGACAAGTTGGTGTGTGAGATGTGACTGCTAAAAGCAGGTGTTAGCTGGTACATGTGTACCTCAAACTGCACTACTTTAAGCACCAGTTATATTGAAGAAAGCTGCTGTGTGATACCTCTAGAGATTATTTTTGTAAATAAGTGAGTGTTTCCCTTTTGTGTATCTATTTGTGTATCTATTTGATTCTGTCCTCCAGCTATGTAGGCTCCTGGATTCACATACATGCTCCATTATGAACTCTTGTTTTTTCATGCAGCAGGGAAATTTATTTACAGCCTTTTTATTAATTGAACTTTGGGTATCCTTTCTTCTGTGACTCTGCCATATCTTTGTCCATTGACCTGAAAGTAGTGTCAAGTCACCCATAATAGGGACTGCAGTTCGATCTTCAACTGCATTCATTCTTTCCTAACCACCTGTCAGTTGTGCTAGATTCTGCTGAATTAACCTTGAGTCATGTTATGTGGATTTACCTTCCCCAGGAACTAGAGTTGATGCAACCTGATCTTTGAAACTTGGAAGGAGTTTAATAGATGGAAAAAGGTCACAACCATGGCAAAAAAGGCAGGCAGTGGAGAAGTTGCATGGCTTTCACACAAGCTGTACCACCTGCAGTAGAGCTCTGTAGTCATTATGTTCAACTTGCCATGGAGGGGATGGCATGTTTAATAGGCTTAGGGGTATGGCCATGTGGTTCTGCGCACACTGTGACTCTTCTGTACCTAAGCTGCTGCATAAAGGGTAGCAGCAGGCTGTGTCCACTGCTTCTGGCCGAAACTAAGAGGAGTACCTGAGGGCCAGTTGTGCCAGTACCAGTACACTTCATTGTAGATTGAGGAGGAATATGCATTTTTTATCACTTCCTTCATCCAACTTCATTGTGGTCTACACATTTAATTAAGGTTTTACTTACTGGATCAGAATGTTTACAGCTCCCTTGCAAAAAGAAAAGGAGTTTTACAGATTTATCCCATTTTAACACATTATGCAAATATAGTAACACTGCATACATATTATGGTGGTGTGAATTTTTTATTTATGTTTGTAAATGCATCAAGGGAAACTAATTTAACATTTATAGAAAGAGCAAGATGTGTATGAGTGTACACAGAGTAATTTTTAGAGCAGTTTCTCATGCTTTTTTCTTTTTCCTTTCATAGATTTTTCTCTCTTAGAGCATGGACACCAGTAAAAAACCTGACCCCCCTATATCAGTAGAGATGGTCCAACAAAGGGCAAATCCTGATCGTAGCCCTGCAGCATCGATTTACGTTCCAGAACAAGGTGGTTACAAAGAGAAATTTGTAAATGTAGTGGAGGAGAAGTACAAATGTGAAAAGTGTCGCCTCATTTTGTGCAATCCCAAACAGACTGAATGTGGACACAGATACTGTGAAACCTGCATGAATGCCTTGTTAAGGTGCGTGCTGCTTTTTACACTAATATGCTTGAAAGTTACTGAAATGGAAAGTAGTACGAATGAGTGCCTGTATTGCCATCTTGTGAGACATGGAAAAGAATTTATACAATGGAGAGTGTAGTGTGAGGGAGTGAGGTAACAGTGAATGCTCTTGATTTTATTTTTATTTGAACATTATGAGAGATGCAACTGAGAGATGCTCCTGGTACTACCAACAACAATAGAAAGCCAAAAAAATTCCAGCTTTTTAAGAAATATCTGAGGAATGGTTTGAAGATACTTACTTGCCTCCCAGAGCTGATTGTATTTGGTATTATTTCTAACTTTATCTGATGCAAAGAATATGAGTTATCCTACTCAGAGTACTGTATAAATTTTGATCCTGACCAAAGTCTTGTGAGAGAAAGTAAGCAGTGATATCCATCTTTTATTGATGGGAATGCTTTACAGAAGGAAAAGGGCTTGCTGAGGGCAATCTACTATAGCAGTAAGGGAGCTGAGATTTGATTTTTGAGAGTCCTGAACCTTCTGTTTGTTTCCAGTGATGATTCTGACTGTTTCATTTTGGGAATACAGCATTGGTTTAGACATTGTAAATCACATGCTGCTGCATTTAATTGCATATAAATGATCATTTTTCCCCCTCTCCCTCTGATTTTAGTGCATCAGATTTAAAATAAATAAGAAACAGGGTTTTTCATTGTCTGTATATTTTTGATAAAGTGCAGCATGTGCTGTAAAATCTAGTATTTCTTTCCAAACGTGCATTCATCTGCTGTGGTTAATAACTTAGCATAGAAAGAATAGAAAGGCAAATATGCAGCATGCTTGGATGTGTACAGATGGAAGAAGCAAACCCTTAGCAATTGAAGCAGTAATGATTCTGGCATGGCAGAGATCTAGCTGGGCAAATTTCCTTTCCTGCTGTGAAATGTGCACATATGTGCCTATTACAATGCAGTTATAATATATATGCAATTTTATCTTTCCAATCAAATTTGTAAAAACCTCTTTTTGGGATGGATAAACCAAACATTGGCCTCTTTTATGCATTAATTTTCTAAATAGAAAATTATTCTGTTGTTCTATTATTTATTCTCAGTGTGCCTTTTCCTGAAGTGGTTGTTTAAGTGGTCATTGGAGACTTTATTAAAATTCAGGTTTACATCCTCTTTTGAAATATATGAATGAAATACGTGTCATGAAATGGGTATTAAAATGTAATTTAAAATGTTGATAGGCATTTCTCATCCAGTGCCCGTGTATTACTAAGTACACATTGATTATGTGCTAGCAGCTTCTGCACTGTCAGGTTCATCTGAGGACAAGGCGCTGCGAGTCGTTGTAGATAACTCAATGAAGATGTCTGCTCAGTATGCAGCAGCAGTTAAAAGAGCAAGTCGAATGTCTGAGAGCATTCGGTAAAAGCTAGAGAGTGATGACATTGTATCAAACAGTATATGCCCTCCAGTAGAATACAGTATCCACAGTTGCTTGCCTCTTCTTAAGAAAAATATCAAAGAGGTTGGAAGTTGTGAGAGAGTGAAGATGTTCAGCAGTATGTTGAGATTTACATACAATAAACAATTTCAAGGAGTAGCATTGGTCAGGAAGGGGATTTGACTGAAGTAAAAGGCTGTGAATGGCAGTGTGACAGTTGGGCCTTTGCACTGACCCACACTTAGTAATGAGTCATTTTACAAAAATAATTGATGGCTCTTATCCAGCGCTTTTCCTCCACGCAGCTCAGAGCACTTGACAGTGGCTGCTGGTGTCATTGGCCCCATCTTATAGACTAAGAAACAGCAGCACAGAAGGAGAAGAATTTGCTCATGGACAGCCAGGGGAAAGCACTGCCCTAGAACCAAGGACTTTTGTGTTCAGTTCTTTATCTACTGGGCTACTCTGCCTCCCCATTTACCTAAGAGATTACAATTCAAAGAGCAGACATATACAGCACAACAGTTCATCTAAGGAAAGGAATAGAGATTGATCCACCAGAAAAGTTTATGTGGAGAAGTGAGGGGCAAAGGATAATGAGGTGAATTTAGATTTCTTTAAAATAAATATTTAATGCTGTTAATAATGTTGTAGAATTCACTGTCTTAGGAGATTTAGTGAAATTACATCTGGGTTAGAAAAAGTGTTGGATAATTTAATAGATGCCAATAATAATTTTGCATGCTGAGAAGTAACCAGAATGTCATAGATCAGGCACTTGATGCAGAAATTAGGCATTTCTCCATATAAAGCATTGCAGAGTTGGCTAGAGACATTTTGATATGGGTTTTTTTCCCCCTTCCCTTTCCTCTGCAACACCAGATAAAGGGGATGAATGGTTTTAGCAAACATAGCTAAAACCATTCATCCCCTTCATGTTGTATATTTCTTCATGTCTTCTGGTGGATGAAGACATCTAAAAGTTTCAGCTAATTTTATGAAGGAAAAAAAGACTTAAATATTTTGCATTCAAGACTATCACAACTGAATATATGAACACATAATATTCATGCATAATACTTTTTTTTGAAAGATTAGAACCCATGGCAAAGGGAGAGTGTGTTCAGTTTCATGCAGCTGAAAGTTAATTGATTGTTAACAGGTAAAAATTAAACTTCCACAGTACGTTAAACTTGAATTAAACTGTTTCCTCAATTCTGAAATTCTCTTGAAAAAATGGTTATTTTCTGAATGTTAGCCCATTTTGTTCCATTTCATTCTATACTAAGTTCACTGTAGTGAACTGTGTATAAATACTTAATTAAAACCTTTTTTTAATTATTTGAATCATTTTATTTGAGAAGAGGGCCTTTCATTTTTGCAAAGGACTCAGAATCCTGCTATAATCTGGGAATTCAAAATAGGATAAATATAACTCATTCATTCATTTATTTATTTTTACAGTGCTTCTACTCCAAAATGTGCAGCGTGTCAAGAAAACATAGCTAAAGACAAGGTATTATTATTTAAAATTTGATGTGTGGCATATTCAGTATTTTGGAATAATTGGTTTT